CGGAGTCCCGGAAACGGGTATTTTAGTTCAGAGTGCTTTGGGGTAACATCATTCTAGCACCACAACTAAAAATGATAATATTTTGGTGTATTTGAAATTGTTAGGCCATGTTCGTGGATTGGTGGCGCCACGCGTGGGTGTAAAACCAACTAGATGTGTGTTAGGGAGAAGTCTAAAACCTCCGATATAAAAATTATATCTCTCATTCTAATGAAAAATCAAAACGTTACCTACTTATAGATAACTATTAAACCTTTTTTTTTTATTTTAAACGTTATTCAATCTTTGTTGTCGTGGTATCTATTATCCACCTTTGTCATTTTTGAACAAAAGCAAATAATGAAAAAACCAAATCATAGACATATTAAATGTGTATGTACTAAGTTCATATACATTTTTAATACTACATAATATTATTATGTATGCAGTGGGTTAATTAATTTGGAAAAACAGTAGCTCCAATTTTAAATATAATGCAGATATTGTAGTGCAAGTTTTTTAAAGTAATATTCAGGGCTTGCATTTGAAAAAGAATTCCGTTTTATGTTATTTACAATTAAAACATTACACCATTCTTGCGTTTATCGTTATTTAGAATGAAAACGTTATTCAACTTTTGCGTTTATCGTTATTCAGAATTTAAACGTTATTCAAGTTTTAAGATTATCGATATTTAGAATAGTGTTAATCTTATTTCTTAATACCTATTCAATTTAATAATTATAACTGATTCGGGGAGGTAATGGCCCGGATACGGAATATAATATAATCAATTCTAATGTCCGTATGCATGAAATAAATATTTCTACAAAACCAATATAACTTTTAAATAAATGGATTTTAAATTGTTTGGTTTTGCGTTATTTTTAGTTCAAAGAAATTCTATAAATAATAAATTACGTTCAAAAATTCAAAAATTCAACCAATTTCAGATTTTTTTTCGTATTATAAATAAATAATCTACATAATAGATATTTGAACATTTTCTTAAGAGGACACTACGCTTGTGTTCTCTCGGTCTTACAAATGCATAACATAGGAAATTGTACTATTAGTAGATCACGTTTACCTCTATTAGTTTAAAAATTAGTGTGCATTTACCTCTTATACAATTTAAAGGTAAAATTATTATCTAGTGAATCTCATAGGTTTTTTTTTAGATTTTATAGTTTTAAAGCAAGTTATCAGTATTATAAAATGCACAAAAAATTAATGTATAAAGTTAAAATGTAAAAAAAAACGGTATGAGATTCCCTAGATAATATTCATACAAATTTTATAAAAAGTAAATTAGTTCATATTTTTTAACTAATAGAGCTAAATGTGATCTGCTGAACGTACAATATGCTACGTTATGCGTTTGTAAGACGGAGGGAACGTGCCCTCTTAAATACCTACTTAATATGTCCATATAGATAAGTTATTTTTTTGACAAATTTCATTGAGTGTCACAACTCTCCGATCGGCCCCCTGAAAATAAATGTTTGTAGATACGAATGATTTAATACCGGCTCGTAAAGTTTTCAAAACTTTCATTAGTGCAGACATAATACTATCTAGGTGGTACGGCATTTTGGCACCTGACCCTAAAAAGGCTGTTCAAACCATATGGACCAAATATGACAATAATACATTAATATAACAGTATATGTACGTTTAACCTAACACGTTATTTCATATTGGTACAGTTTACGATAAGTATATTATTATAAATGGTGAAAGCCGACGTTCCAATGAATGGGACATATTATACGCGTTGTATTCGCGGTATATACCGGACTCGGACGGCGGCCAGAACAATTCGACACCTGCAGCTTTATTATACTGCAGAGTGTCCCCAAATGATGTCCGGTGCAACAGGTTGGTACGCATATTGTCCAGAACGGCGTCCATAGAATACGAGGGCCGTTATACTGAAAACGCCATGTATAGACCGACGACGTGGCCAACGGGCAAGGACACTCGAATGTAAGAAGACAAATAACACACAAGTATATAATATATATTACGATTTACAATAGGTATAATATAATATAATACAGCGTGGAGTTGCACGATGGCAAGTCCGTATTATATATATATAAGTGTCCCTCGGGATTATAATAATCATTTCTCGGACGACGACGACGTGTAGCAGCTGTATTATATATATATAATATTATATATATATATATATATCAGAGACGATTTTGAGTCGTCCCTCAAACACCGTGTGCGCCTGGCGAACCGTTCTCTGCGAACGAAGTGTACATACTTTATAATAATACTATTATTATTATTATTATTATTATTATTGTTACATTATTATAGACAACGCCGTCGATTAGATATGTGTGGTTTTTTGATTCGTTTTTATACATAAGTGCATAATATATGCGATGTGGCGGTGACTGGTGTACGTGACAGTTTGTACCGTCGTATCTACAGCTCGTGTGGGTAAATAAAACTCGACTGCGGCAGTGTACGATTCAATAATTATTAATGAACAGAACGTTAATTATAGTGATTTGTAATATTCCTAACACGATGCCTAATATTTCGGCATATAATATGGTTCACGTATTTAGTTCTGAAACCGAATAGGTACTTTAGAGATTTGTATAATATACTATGTAATATTAACGTCTACCATTGACATAATTTGAGGGGGCTTAGCCTCTAAAGCCTCCCCCCCCCCCAATTGGCGCCTATGACGTCTACATTTGGAATATTATTGCCCTTTAAAGTCAGGTCCGCCACACATTGAGACGACCAAACAATTTAGATTGTCTCACCAGCTGTGATTGAAAAGTTGACGTTTTGTTTTGCTTTTCTTTACTATTTTACTATGTGTGGACATGACATACGACGACGTTGTATGTGCTGTGTCGTTTTACCAACGCATAATGTTGACAATAATTTCAAGTTCAGAATTATCCATTTTACTCTGTAATAATTTTAAAAATGACGCCATCATAGTAATAATTATCGCTATACTAAAATGTTCATAATAAGAACTACGAGAATATTATCCTGGGCCCGACCCGACACGGAGCTTTTTTCGGGTATTCAAATTTTGAAGCAATAGTTATGAGCGTTTTAAATTTTACAAGAAATTTACTTTTATAAAATGCTCATGGCATACTTTAAAATTAAAATATAAAAATATCACCGCGATAATCGAAAGTCTTAGTCTTACTATAACATTTTAATATAGATAATAGATCAGTTTAAAGTACCTATTATAAATAGATTATTTTAAACTTGTTATGTTTTACGTTTGTAAGACGGAAACAACACATATGCGAGTATAAGGGCTTCTTAATCCGAATTTGAGGTGAGTATTCACTGTTCAGATTCTGTTTCTGACACGTTATTTTCGAGGGTTCACATTTAAGGACAGGTTTATCCTTAAAAATAAGGTTATCGTCGCTGGTGGTAAGAACACAACCATATTTTTATAACCGGTAATCGAGTTGCAGAGGCAGAGAGAATTCGTTTATTTCTCGCGTGCAACAAAAGTGGCCGGTCGACCGGTCATATACCTACCTACAATTATATTTATCTATTTTCAACGATTTTAATACTATTTTAACCTTTTTATATCAAATTTTCGAAATAATATTAAACTTTAATCTTTGTATTATGATAACGAAATGTTGAATAGCACTATCCAGTACCAATGTAAATATAATTAAGTGTTATTGTTATAACATACCCACTTATATATTGACTTTAAGATTGGAACGATTTAATTGAACTTTTAAATATAAAATTCTAAATATTTAGATCTGAATTAATTTGATAAACTAAAATACCTACATGTAAAAAAACAAAAAAACTACAGTAATAGTTATTTGGATTTTGTACTCTTTTTTAAAAACAATAATTTCACGTTTTATAAGACTTGATTCTCTCAATACAATACCTATACGACTACACCTATCATCAATATCCATGTTATTATTTCAAGTTTAAACTGTATTTTTAACAACTTATTACTGCCCGTAAAATCTGTGACTAAGTAAGAATAACTAACCTAAGTATTCTACACTCCTAAGTCTGTGTTGTAAAATGGGTAGGAAACGATTGTCGGTTGAGTATACAAAGCTTTAGTATAGGTACTAAAACTATAGTTATATTACTATAGGCACCTGGCGCCTTGTCCTCAAAAATACACTCTGTGGGAATAACGATAACGACTTGTAGAAGCAACCAAATTTCATAATTTTTTTTTAATTGCTAGAGGGAAATATTCTACAGCCCGCATCGATATCTGTTTTTCAATACTTTATTCTCAAACTTTATAATATGTCTCAAAAAATACAAGATAAAAAGCATTTTTTTACAATTTTTTTAATACAATTATTTGAAATAAAATACAAAATCAGAGATCGAAGTCTTCTTCTTTCAGATAAAAAAATAGTCAGCAATTCTACAAAGCTTGAGAGTTATTCCTGTTAAGTCATTTTTTTCGATATTATAATGCATCCTATCAACCCCCCCCCTAAATAGGTATCGGGTAGTAGATTAGTGGAAAAGTTTTATAATTGAGGTGGCAAATAAAAAATAAAATTTAATTTTCAAATTTTATAGAATTGTGGAAAATTTGAAAAACTTCACCGGGACCCTTAACATATACATAGTTGTATTATTAAAAAGAAAGTTCATCAGAACCAATTCGTATGTTACCTGTAGACCTCCAGGGATAAAATGCAGTAATTGGGAAGCAACTCTACCGAGTTTTTGGATTGTCTCATATGAATGTTATTTTTTAGAACAGTTGGTATCCACGCCATGATGGACACGGGAAACAGTTGTAACTTTAGCTGCCATGATGATAGCCGTCACTTTCGCCACCGCCGCCACTGCAGAAGATAACCGACATATTATTTTGTAATAAGTGCGTTCGATAGACTCGAATCATTTATAGCTTGCAGTGTTACGCGTAATTCACAATAATAATGTATTAATTATACTTTCACCGTCGCCTAGGTACTCGTATATTGATATGTATTGGAATGTCAATAAATTGCCGGAACCGAGGGTTTCCACAGACGGTTTGGGCGGTAATCGGAAAATTGTTTAATAGGAACACGGATATGACGGTATTACTCTGCGAACACGACGAAGACGACGACGACGACGACGATCACGACACGACGCGATTCAGAGCGGTGCGACGCCGTAACGTGACGACTCCAACGATGACCGAAATTAATTCGGACGAAAGCCTATACCGGTTTATGGCCAACAAAGGGGCGAAATCACAGAAGACCCGGAAGTGCACTGCGGCGTGCGTCCGGACCAACAAGGGCGATCGTTACACCGGCGCCGCGGATACGGCTGCGACGTCACTCTGCTGCAACGATACGGTGCAGAAGACGTACCGGCCCTCCACCCAACAACGCGACAGGAGCACGTCCTGCACCAAGAACGCCACCGACTGTCGCGGCCAGTGCCCCCGGACCGGAAAGTACGTGGCCAACGACAAAACGCAATGCACCGGCCCCAGAAGTCACAGGGCCAACGAAGGCCAATGCACCGTGGCCGCTTCAAAGTACGGGGCCACCGACAACTCTCAATGCACCGGCACCAGAAGTCACAGGGCCAACGAAGGCCAATGCACCTCGGCCACTGCAAAGTACGTGGCCAACGACAACTCGCAATTCACCGGCACCCAAAACTACAGGTCCAACGATGGCCAATACACCGGCGCCAGCACCTGGAACTACGACGCCAACAACAATCGATGCACCGACATTGGAAACTACAGGGCCCACGAATGCCAAAACGTCGGCACCGGAAACTACGGCGCCAACAGCAGCGGATGCAATGGATGCGGCTGCATTCCAGCGGTGGCGGCGGCTGCGGTAGCGGCGGCGGCCTGTCTAGGAGGAGCGAACGGCTTCGGAAGTAACAACCCCGACACCCTGGTGTCGACGGTCTACAAGTGGGCGAAAGTCGCGAAGGACTGGACGTGGGACAAATCGTCTTATTTCCTCGTGGCCGTCGTGTCGTTTATTCTCGGCATTTACACTTGCGATTTGGGTCTGTGCACGTGCGAAGAGGTATCCTCCTGAGAAGTGACGACTACTACGACGACGGCGTAATAGTATTACCGTGTCTTATGTATACATAGATAAAATCATATTACGCGTCCACCTCGTCTATCGGTGAAGCAAATCGGTCTGCAGACGATTACAAGTACACACATGACACGACACGTATTGCTATGCATATTATTATATGACCGAGTAAAACGGTTAGAGAAATTGTTGACTTTTAACCGCCATTGCAAATTATATTAAATATATTATTACAAACGACGTATACGTTTGTCGATGTCCACTGTGCTATACAGGGTGTCCCTTGACCCATTAGCTGTAGAGGGTAACTCGCCGCCCGTACAAAAACCGGTTTTTTGCTATTTTACTTATAAACTAAAAACCATTCCATTATGATCAATTATTAAAAATCATGAAATTAATGAAAATAAAATGTTGAAGAGTCAAAAAAATGTTCACAAAAATAAACTATATATAATTGCAACTTTAATTGTTTCAAAAATAAAAAATAAAAAAAAAATTTTTTAAACTTTTTTACTAAAAATAAAATTAAATTAAAAAATAAAATATGTGTAGTCCTTGTCCTTGTGTATAGTAAAAAAAAACAGATTTATGATATATTTATTATCTCAGAAGATATGGCAATGGGTAAATCCTCTCGCGACACCCTGTATATATATGGTATATATTAGATTAGATAATCGAATATTATATTATGCGTATGGGTTTGTAAACTAACATCGAAAGAGCCGACCAAAGTTCTGCAGCCAATATTAATAAATCGTACCTATTGAATTTGGAAGGTTTGAATTTTATTAGTGTTCGATTTCCCCTCATTTCAAACCTTTCCACATTCACAATTCCTGGGAACCCTCCTAGGAGGCTCAGAAGAAAATGGTGTCGAGATCTTCTCAATGAGTAACACACAATAATGAGCAAACATTATAGAAAAAAAAAAAAAATAAATAAAATAAAATAACAAAAAATATCAAGTAAGGGTAGTGTAACCACTGGGTGACTCCTCCCATCACGTAATCATGTTATAAACTTTTAAAATATCACATATTCTTATTGTTCCTAAAAGAACAGATTGTATATACCTTATAAATAATAATAAAAAAAAAACCTATTGAATTTATTCCACTTATTTAGTCATTCTAAGAAGTAAAAAAATCTCAATATAGGTTGACTTTAGTACTATTTATCTATTTCTACTGAAGTTTAGACTTTGTCACTTTGGCATATTGGCCAACTGCAGCTGATAACAGAAACGTCATATTAAATTATGGTATAGGCATACGGTAGGTATACCTAATAAGTAATATATTAAGTGACTGCCGATTTAGGTGTAAAATATATAAACGTCGCAGAAATTGTTCAATAAATAATAGATTTTAAACATGCAAGCATTATCAGTATATTTCCAAGTGTTAAATTAACTTAATTTTTAAATTTTCTACAAATGATTCATAATTATAAATTTAAAGAATCTTACCAATCTCAATATTAAAATGGCTAAAAGCATATTGTCCTCAATGCCAATTACAACAGCCATAGGTGTGAAAACAATTTCAGGAAACTATTAAATTAATTAAAACACACAGTGAAAAGCTATTGTAAATAATTAAAACGGACATTTTGTTTGTTTAGTAATTACATATTACTGTTAAATAACAAAAAAAAAAAAATAATAATAAGTTAAAATCTAAAATATTTAATTGATATTTGATACAATTTTAAAAATCAGATCAATAAGTTGAGTTTAGTTAATTCATTCTAAAATAAAATTAATAAAGTTTGATTTACTTAGATTGGGGGGGGGGGCAGGGCTCATTATTTAATTTTCACCTCATGTTGAATGATAATTGTTCGATACTGTTGACAGCTTCGAACAGTATTATAATTCATGGGTAAGTGTTCCTACAAACTTCGATTCCACAGACCCAATAAGTTCTGAAGCCGAATCTGTCCGATAGATAGGTATATATTCAATTTATTCGTATTGATCCCCCCACGCTAGTTTAGTAGTTTTCTTGTAAAAAAAAGCTCAGTATAGGTATCGTTCGGCACTATACCTATAGGTAGGTGTACTCCTATTTGGACATTGCCACGTAACATATTGTATTTTGGCCATCTACAGATAACAACGATACCGGCTATTATACGTTATTCTATAGGTAGTTAATAAGAGATCGTTCTATTATAGACTCAATCGAATTTCGATGAAAACGGCTATACGATCACAATATAATAAATTATGTACGTATATGCAACCGTGATTTTAATTAAACCTACGTCGCTGAAACGACCTCCACTCGGTTTGATAAAAACACGCCCACGAAACCCTAACTAAACTTTTTATTAGGTATTTTTATTCCAGATAAACCGTTCAACATGTTATATATTCGTGTTTTTTCCTATACCATTATTATTACGGTTATGCAGACGTACGCAGAGAGAGGCTATATAATTATGGATATTTTTGAATCCAGCTAATTCCAAAAGTTCAATACCGATCGCACCGCCGATAATAAAGAATTATGTTGATTAATTGAAATCGAAGAGAAAATCGTCCAGGAAGTATAGCACAATAATAATATTATGCGTAGACCGTAGTGGGTCACCTTAAATGTATAGACGCATATACCTATATATATATATACCACCTACCCATAGTATTCCACTTAAACCATAAAAAAATCGGCTCTGAAAAATCTACACAATTAATTTGTCGTCATTTTATTCACGCCGTAGAAAAATAGTCGAACATAAGGACTATTGTGTCGTTCACGCGTCGGGCTGGCCACCGGTCTAGACGAAAGCCAGAGATGATGATGATGATGTGTAGGTATAAAATAATAATAATAGCTTAGACCTATCGGCTACGCGTATAATATTATGACCGAACGTTAATAAGACGAAAACGCCCAACTGGACGGCTAGACCGTTCGGTTTTCATCAAAAGTTTATGTACAACATTATAGTGGCCTCGTGCGTTCGTCTTACTTGTGAAACGTTTATCATCGTGATAAAAACCCCCCCAAAAGAAAAAAACATCTCTTACACATCGGACACGAAATCAAACACGAAAATTACACGTTATTATGCGGTAGGCGCTTATTATTATTATTTATAGCTATATACAGGTACTCGTTTCGTTTATCCGGTAGAATGGTACCTATATTAGAAGCTGGTACCACCTAGACACGTCACATTATATTTTAGCTTTTCGGTCGTCCACTTGCGCTCGGCAATGGTAATTTTAAATTAAAAACAAAACAAATCTATATATATATATATGGAAACCGTAATGTTGTACATAATATTATTATTATTATACATAAACGGCCGCGTACGCATAACGAATTAACAACCACATAACTAATGATCTCTCCCTCGACTCCGGTCGGTCAATCCGTTCCAATCGATATAGATTATTAATATATTATATTATATACCCACTCAAGGGTCACGTTATTCGGAGGGTTTTCGGTGTGCTTCCTTTTATATATAGGTACGTATATATTGGACCTCCGGAGTAATTGTTTTCAGTCTAAAAACATTTCGTCCGTGCAGTGTAATGCACTATAATGTTATTCCTATACGCGTTGAATACCGCGAGCGGTAATACCGTATTAATGATTTGGTTTTTTTTTTTTTTAGAAAAACTAATTTAGATGTTTGGAATTTGTTCCGACGCTTTCGTATAACACTGAAATGTGTATCTAATATTTTTGAAAGGTAAACTTTAAAATTTAAATGGTATTTTTGAATGCACATATGGAAATTATATATAAGCAATAGGATGATATATAGTATATACTCATTACTTAGGGTATAAGTAAAACAGCATGTATCGTGTGATTTTATAGAGGACATAAAATCCCAAACTCTAATATGAGTCAGTAATATAAGATTGTACCTGTATGATAAAAAAAAAATATAGGTAATAATAAAGACGACGTGCAGCGAGCGTGTAGGTACCTATATCATTTTTTAATGTAAAATATATCAACTGTAGTTGATATTAAACTTGCCTATAGGTTTATGACTTTTGTCAACTAAATTATAGCTTGGACACTAGACAGGCATATTCTATGTAATGTAAAAATTAATATATCATGGTAATTAATGACAGGGTCGTTTTTCATTGTGTTTAGAAATGCGTCTATGAATGAGCTAGGGGGAAAATTATTTATTTATACAATTTAAATTTCTTAACCACTATATAGGTATATAAGTAAGCGTATATATACATTTGTTTGCTTTAGAAATATTTTTTATTTTATTAGATGCTTCAGTTTCAGGTCATATTTTGTTAAAATGATCTGGTAAATGAATTGATTGATTTTATCGAGTACCTAAGATATGTTCATATTTTCAAAATAATAAATAACATACAGTGTAGTTAATTTTGGAAGTACATAGTGGCGTGCTCCGGACTTTTAAATGGGTGGTTGGGAGCTAAACAAAGTAAATGTAAATCATAGAATTTGATATCCGTTACTTTATACTAGGTTATTGAATAATTTTCGGTGGATGCCGAATTATGAATGCTCAAATAACGTCACTATTGAGAGCAGTAGACTCTTGATCATTATTAAAAGCAGGGCTTGCAAATGTTATAATAACGTTATGATTATAACGTTATATTTGACAAAAAACGATCGAAATTTGTAAACTTAATTTTAACGGAAAGTGATAATTAAAAATAATTAAATATCGTAAAAAAAAATATAACGCAAAACGTAATTTACAAAATTTCGTTGAACGCAAAATTAAATAATTTAAAATCCATTTCTTTAAAAGTTATATTGGCATTAAAATTGATTATTATATTATTATATTCGTATCCAAGCCATTACCTGTCCGCATTAGTTATTATTAATAAATGTAATAGGTATTAACACTTTTCTAAATAAAGATAAACGCAAACATTGTGTAACGTTTTAATTGTAAATAACATAAAATTAATTTTTTTTCTAGCCCTTATCATAAGTAACACTAGTAACGAT